GGGGTAAAAATCTGTTCATATTAATTCCCTAATAAGCATGATAATTCATAATTTTTTGGTTCTAATCACATTTCAATTAAACTTGGAGACATAGATTTTCTGTTACATTGCGCAGACCTCATTAGTTTTACACTCAAATTTGGTCATATTAATTTTCTGATTTGCATAATTAGTTTTCAGCTAAGTAATTTCGAATTATATTTAATGCGTCTCCAATACTCTCAGCACATGGGAGTTCTTTCTAAGCTTTCTTTGATTTTGAATGTGGTATCTTGGACATGCTTTGTCAGTTTTCATTCAAACTTGGCACATACTTTATACATGTTAGGATACATGTCCATGACAATTTGTTTCAAAATTCATAAATGAATACATGTACATGTCAATTCAATTTGCAATTCGATTAAATATGGCCGACTGGCAGCCATCTTGTTTGTTTAAAATGTGATAACTTGGACATGCTTTCACTTGTGATCTATGTTTTTCTTTGCTATGTCCTAAACTGGAGGGGTTGTCATGCAACACGTGTTTGAATTTGATGTAAATAAACAATCTGTTGTATATGTCACTTTGGACTCAAGTTTCATGGACACGTTCGCAACAACCCCTCCACTTTAATATGACAAGCACAAAGAGAACTTTCACAAATTTAACAGGGACTGTGTCATTTTCAATGACTTGTTTCCTACTGTGCTATTTAACAGGCTGTAGTTTAGACATGTTTGTATGAAAGATTGGTGCTTTGCGTTGTTTTTTATATGGGTCAAATTTGATGTATACATTGCATGTACAGTACAGTACATTTTACACAAAATTTGAATGCACACTGCATTCATTACTACCCCTTTGATATAAATGAAATCATCGTGTTTTTATTTTACAGGCGTACGCAGCGTGTTTCAGGTGTCAGATTAATCAGAAGCTTGTTTCCAAGACCATATTTCATTCCGGAAAAGGCAGAAGTATGTTTAGAGAAGTACGTCTTCATTGACAGTCCAAAAGCAGAACCATTTCAAATAGTAAGTTCCAATAACTAATCTTTTATATACATATTTACAAACAAAATCAAATCATGGCTACATATATCTAACATCTTACAACTGCTGGCTTTTTGACTCCCGTGTGCGAAGCACAAAAAGGGAGTCTTTGCAGTTAGCGTGTCTGTGTCTGTGTGTGTGTTCCACTGATATCTCAAGAACCATACATTGATTTTTGATGAAACTTGGTGCATAGATGCTCTGAGCCAATGCGCAGATTTGATTAGGTTTTGGTAAAAATCCATGCATATTAATTACCTAATTTGCATGATAATTAGCTGATTTTTAGCTGTTCCACTGATGACTGTTCCACTGATATCTAAAGAACCACCATTGGATTTTGATGAAACTTGGCACATAGATGCTCCAAACTAATGCGCAGATTTGATTAGTTTTGAGTAAAAATCTGTGCAATATTAATTACCTAATTTGCATAATGATTAA